AAGAACAAAATGGAGAAAATAGGAACTCTAAATTCGAGTATCTGAGCTACAGCTGTCTTTAAACACCAGCACACAAAAACTTTTGTATCTGTCCTTGGTGGTAAGACAGCAATAAAAATATCTATTTGTTAGTACTGGTTTCATTTCTCAACCCAAGAGATAAATACTAAACAAAGCTGGAAGATATTCATAGAACAGCACAACTGAAATACTCAAGAGGATAAAATAGATTCTAACTTCCTCCTCAAAGACATATGAAACTTGGCTACTCATTCAAGTTCATTTTAATAATAATTTATTGAGTGCCTGTTGTGTTCAATACTGGATCAGTTAATTATTCATTCATTTATTTAAAAAGTACCTATTGAACACTTACTATATGATGGGAATTTTTCAAGGCAATAGAGATAGAGTAATAAATAAATGAAACATCTCTGCACTCATGGCACTTATATTCTAGAAGCATGAGTCATAGATACACAAATAAATACAATGGATAGTGTAGCAAATAGTGGTAACTGCTTTGGGGAAAAAAAACGAAAAAGGAGTTAGGAAGTGTCTGGACTCGGGAAAGGGACATTGTAATATTCAGTTGATTGTCACAGAAGGTGACATCTGTTTCTGCTGTCCCTGAAGAACAAAATCTGATGCAGGTCTTGAACAGCTTGGGGAATAAAGAAGGTGTGCAGATGGTCATGCTTTTCTTTAGCATCCTATGGACCTTGTATTCCATTAGGCTCTGTTTATTGGTGACCACCTATACTTTTTAACTAATTGTTGTTAGACTGAAAAAGATATGCTTTTCAGTAAGGGTAGAATTTAACAAAGTCGACTCAAACTTTGAAGGACTGGGAGTGATATCCCTTGAAGGATGTCAGGTGAGGATGGCAGGAAGAAAGACATAGGCAGAGGTGGCCCCAGGTAAAGAAAAATTCTGCCTTATCTAGGGGCAACTGGGAGATCTTCCCTACTTCACCCGGGAGGTACAGGTTAGTGCAAGTTATGTGAAGTGGGGAAGCCATTATAAGCGAGTTGGAGAAGGTCACACTTGGTCATAGAGACTATGGGAAGCCGCCAAAGTTAATTGAGCAGGGAAGAAACATGGTAAAACAAATATTTTACTAAAAGTAACACTGTTATCCAGGTATTAATTTATAAGGGGCTGGCTGGAATGAAAACAGCAAGAACAATGATATTTTTAAAGGAATGATATTTATAAAAATAAACGACAGGCCTTGGTAGATGATAAGATCTGAAGGGTAAAGAAGAGGAAGAAGTTAGAGCTGATACATTCATAAAGTTCAGAGAGGCAAGTGGATTGTGTTATTCTAAGACCAAGTATTCTGCAATCCAAGCAGAGTGTGACCCGTTCAGGATCACACAGTAGTCAAAAGCTGAAGCTGGAACCCAGATTTCCCGCTTCCCACCCCTCACCCCAGATGACTCCAAAGTGTTCAACCTGGCAAACAGAGAAATAGTCCCACCAACAGAAATGGGTGAGTATGGAGGGATAGCAAGCATGTAATTGGATAGAGGAGATGGAGAGTTTTAATTTTACATTTGGATAATTTAAATATATTCAACTGGAAGTATCTGGGAGTTAGGCAAAACTTCAGGATTGGAAACCACTCTGTCCCTTACCAGTTTGTGATCATGGGCAAGTTGCTTAACTTCTCTGATCCCTAGTTTTCCCAGTTGTAAAGTAGAGATAAGGTTAATTATTTAATGGCTGTTACTAATTAATTAACTAATGATTGTAAAGAGCTTGGAACAGAACTTGGTACAAGGTAAGTGTTATTTAATTATGTGTTGAATAAAATAGGTAACGTGCAATGGAAAGAAAGAGGTTGGCTTTCTGGGGAGGTAAGAAGAAGAAGATGTGGAGAAAACTAGAGGAGAATTTGGGATGATTGATATAATATCTGCCATAGAAGTCAAGGAAAGAGTTTTATGAAGGTGAAAAACAAAATCAAATGACACGAAGGTACAGAGAAAGAGGCCAAGAGAAGTCATAAGGTGTGGAAAGAAGGAGGCCTTCAAAATATGCTTTGGGCAGAGGGGCAATGAGGAGAGAAGCCAAACTATAGGGAACTGAGAGGTCAGGAGAACTCAAAAGCAAGGCACTTAGCTACTTTTGAAAGTTGCCAATGATCTCAGAATGTATCCAAGAGCAGATAAAGTTTTAAAATAGGCATTTGACTAAATTAGTGGATTAACACATTCACGGTAGATTGTCAAAGGCTATATAGAAAATTTGGAGCCATTAGTAACCATCAAAGAATTGACAGCATGGTGGATAGTAATCCTGGCCTAAACTAAACTTCATAGTTAGGTACCCAAATATTGAATAGAATGCAGCATGAACTGACACTAAGATGGGGGAGATTTTGATTTCCACACTCCCACGTGTGTGTGTGTGTGTGTGTGTGTGTGTGTATCTATCCTATATTGAAAATTCTCAAATGTGAGATGTTGTCATATTTTTTTATGTTTACTCTGTATAAAAGTGTATATCACAAACATTCAGAAATGCAGAGAAGCCCATCTAAAAGGCCAACTTACCATATAGTGAAATAAAGACTCTGGTTTAAAATTTTTACTATAAATCATCTATTTGTTCCCAGTTTGAAGAAGTACTCATAGAATTGTTCTCTTAGTGTTTTTCTATCTAAATCTTTGCTTATGAGGGAGACAGAGTTTGCGCACCCCTCCCCGACCCCCAAATATATCTCTTGGGATATTGATTATTTTAAGCTTCTTATTTCTAAGAAGGAAAAGACTGAGGAAAAAAAGCTTTGACCTCTCCTCAACTGCTTAAGAATTTAGATGGAGAACCTGCTCCCAAAAGGGAGATATCATCATAGATAACTATATATTAGTGTGACAGATGTGGAGGAATCTAACAAGTCCTTGACCAAAATCCTCTCTGTGTCCCTTTGTTAAAGATGGCCCAGCAAGCATTTATTTACCAAACATTTGCTTTTCCAGCTCCATGTATATTACCTTCCTGCCCTTTGACATTCCAAACCACAACCCCCTTCTCCTTAGCTCAAGATAGAATATGGCATATAAGCCTCAACTGCCCAATCTGTCTTCCAGCACCATATTTTTATGGAAACCCCATATGGACATATGTAATGAATTTGCTTATTTTTCTTCTGTTAATCTGTCTCACGTTAATTTGATCATTAGTACAGCCAGAAGAACTTAACAGGGAGAAGGACAATTACTTTTCCTGCTCTACACTTAAAAATCTCAGCGTAGTAAAATTAAGTAGGAGAATTTGGAAAGTCAGAAACTCTACAACTCAAAAAGCTTTCTTTTCTTTGGATCTCTTTTTCATGTCCATGTAATGTTAGACTGAACTTTGTCTTAAATGCTTAAAGGCATTGATGTTTGGGAGCAAAAGTTACCTAACCAGCTTTGTAGTGTTGCTAAACTACCTGAGGCAGCCAAAACCAGAGAAAGAAAGGCAGTGGGAATTGACCAAACTCAATCTGGAGGCATTTTAGTATTAGGCTGTAAATTGCAAACAAGCACTGACCAATAGGAAAATAATGTGACCCTCACATGTGAGCTACGTAAGGAATTAAACTTTTTTTTTAATGCAAGTCACACTTTAAAGAGAGAAAAATAAACAGGTGACATTAATTTTAACAGATTTTATTTACCTAATGTATGAAAAGTATTGTTTTAACATGTAAGCAACATAAAAATCATTAACAAGGTATTTTGTATTAATTTTCCAGTGCTGTCTTCAAATTTCAGTTTATATTTCACACATTCAACACATCGCAATTCAGACTAGCCATCACTTTGAATGGTCAATAGCCACATGTGGCTAGTGCCTAACACACTGAACAGTCGTGCAGCTTTGAACCGAAAATGTCTTGCTTTATTGTTTTATTTACAGACAAGTTGACAGAGGCATTACTTAGCAAGTGCTCCAGTATAGGAAACCTTAGTGCAAACCAATACATGGAAAGAAATACGGACTTTCGCACTCCAGTGAGCAATGGGACTTTCTGATTTTTCTCGAGTTTGGAGCTGGGCTTCTTAGTAGAATTCTCAATCTGAAACTGAAATAAAAAGAGCTGCAGCTTATCTTGAATTACAGGAAAGCTGTATGCAGTGGTTCGCAGGAGAAAAGCATTTAACCCCAGGCTGTGAGTTTATTCCTTGGATGGATCATGGTTATTTATTTAAGGTGCCCCAGGAAGCATGATAGACACATTGTTTGCAAAAGTTGATTTCTATTCGGAAATGCAAATCAACTTTTCACTTTTTGTTGTTGTTTTTTGTTTGCTTGTTTGTTTTTAACCTGCCTTTCCCCAGGCATGGGGTGACCCCTTCATGAGGCTTAGTGCTGCCCTGGCCGAGTGGCTTAGTTGGTTGGCGCGTGGGCCCTTACACCAAGGGCCTGCGGGTAAGGATTTCGGCTTGATCCCTGGTCAGGACACAAACATTGCGGTAGGATCCCCTGTTGGGGAGCTACGGGGGGCAACCTATCCATGTTTCTTTCTCACATCTCTCGCTCTCTCTATCAAAATACGGTGAGGATTTAAAAAAATATTTTAATAATAATAATAATAATAATAATAATAATAATAATAATAATAATAATGGTCTGTGTATCCTGGGTTGGTTTTCCGACTGCCAACTCTGTGAAATGGGCGGAAGGCGCGGGTTCCCCCTCTTGCCCACGTGCCCTGGCAGCTTCGCAGTTTGGGCAGATGGAGTTTCCGGCCTCGCTCAGGGGCCGCCAGGTCATCCGCCCGCGCTCCTTTCTGCCTGAGGTCAGTGCTCCGGGAAGAGCGCGCCGGCCGTCCCAGCGTCCGGAGGGCAGTCCTGCGGTGTGTCCACACCCTCCTCGCCCGCGGCATGCCAGGCTGGGCGCCGGTGGCGGAGCTCCCTGCCGCCGCCACTCGGAGACTGGGCCCTCCCCCACGGTCATCTCTGCGCTGGAGGTGGAAATGCGGAAGTTTCCGACCAGCATTGACAGATGAGGTTTGCGTCTGGCTCGGCATGCGCTGCAGCAGCTCTGCCGCGCCCCGGGTCCCCACCGTCCACGCCCCCCGACCCTAAAGGCCGACTGGCCACGGGCCCGCCATGGCCACGCTACCCAGCTCAGAGCGCCGCGCGTTCGTGCTCAAGATCAACAGGTAAGACGCGCCCTATGGAGAGGTGGACTCCCGGCCGCGCGGTCCCAGCTGGCCGAGCGCAGTGCCCGGGCAGCCGGAGAGGGGCGCCGCCGGCCGAGTCCCTGAGAGTCCGCGGCGGGGCACGCCTGAGACCTGGGGAGCGCGGGTCCCCTTAGCCGCTGCGGTGGGACACCTGAGCGCGCAGTGGTCCGTGCGTCGGGCTCAGCCAGCTCCTCTCCGACCACGCCAGCCCTCCCGCTTGTCCTCAGCCACCACTGCTCCTTCTCAGAGCAGCCCGCAGGGCCACCTCCCCAACCCCGCCTCACCTCCACCGCCCTCGGGCTTCTGACAGGTGGCCGGGCCCTGGGAGCGTGAAGGGCTCAGAGCTAGCTGTGCTGGGCACGCCACGGAGGCTCCTCTGAGAAGGGGCGAGTAAAGGAGTGGTTGCAATGAGAGTGTAGCCCTGAGGCAGCTGCTTCAAGACTTCAGTTGTCCTCAGTAGGGCTATTTTCCCTCTCGTTTTATTTTTTTTCAGAAAAAGTTTGGCTGCTGTTAACATGGCTATTTTTATTCCCTGGTCCAAAGGAGCCATGAAGTGGAAAAAGTGATTTTTTTAAATTTACCATTTAAATAAACAAAAGGAATGGGCATGTGGCTGACAGTTTGACATTTATAGCGCTCCAGTGAAGAACTAAGGCTATGGATCCAACTCACCATCCAATTCATAACCAAAAATTGTACCAACTAAATGTAAGCACATTGACTACTCCTTGTAAAAGTTCTCACCAGAGGTGCTTTAACTGCAGTTTTTCCACCACTGAAAACTGCTGACAAGTGTTTGGAGACATTTTTGTCTTGCCCTGAGAAATCTAGACTCTTTGCTTAAAAAATAGTGTGAAACTCGTCCTGAAGGGTCAACTTATTATTCTGCTGCCCTCACTGCTTTAGGACTTGTTAGTCTTTTAGCTGCGGCTTTGAAAAGCTGGCTTCACAGGAAGTTTATTTCTGGGCTGCTAGTGTGTGAAGTTTGAAAGAAGGAATTAGAAGCCCACAATAAGGAGGTGGTAAGGACTTCCAGAGGGCATGTTGAGCTTCATAGGCGATTTTATTTCTACATGCTGTGTAGGGCTGTGAGCAAACCATTTCTCTTACCTATTTCTGCATCTTTAAAATGAGTTTAATTATTAATGTGTACTGTATATTAACACTGGAGGACAACAGTTCTAGTCAAAAGGCAAAAGGTACATCAGAGATCTCCCTATGGGGATTTTTTTTTCTTCTCCATTAGGTTTTGTGGCTGCTGCTGCACACCAGGAGGGACAATTCATTTGGGAGTCAAACTGAAGTTACTGGTGGATGTACCACTTGCTTGCCATAGCTGTTACTCCTCCATCCTTGTAAATGTTGAGGTCAGAAAGTGTGACTCAGTCAGAAGGAGACAGTGGGTTGGATGGAGTTAATCTGGGGAGAATAGCAGGACCTGAACTAATCCTGTTCGGAGTCTTGAAAGCAGCGGTGAGACTGGTGTGGCCTGACTCGGATCAGATCTGCCTGTCGGTTGACTCTGTCACAAACTGCATGACAGTGGGCGTGTTTTTTAACCTCTTTAAACGTTGGTTTCTTTATATTTCAAAGGGGCGAATCATAGTACCTATCTCTTATTACTGTTGGAAAGATTAAGTGAAGTAACACCTACAGAGTGCTTGTAGCGCCTGGCACAGCACCCCTGTGAGCTAACCTCCTCAGCATTACTATCAAATCTGTCATTGTCATCATCATCTCTATTATCACTTCTTTGAGATCCTAAGAAAGAAAAGTAGGAGGAAAAGTTGAGGTTGGAGGACTTCCCCTGTAGAAACTGGTTTGGGCTTTGTATGGTGATGCTAGTGGCTGACTGGAGCTGCCTTGGGGTGGATGTTCTCCCTCATACGCCTTCCACCTCTGAGCCGAGAATATCAAACATACCCAGCGGAACAGAATGTGCGATGCAGTCTCACCAAGAAGAGTCCCCCTCAAGTTAAGTAAAATATAAAAGTTTCCCTCATCCTCGGGTAAGAATAAAGATTGGATATTCCTATTTTGAAGGTTCGTTTTGTGTATGGGGTGGAAGAGCTCCGGTAAGGAAGTTGACATGAATTATTATTTAAAGGAGTTCATTAAGGACATAACTAGTATTAATATAATCTTAAAATTCACTGTTTATTGATGACTTACTACGTCTCAGAGACTGTTGCATTCTTAATGGATTGTGCCATTAAGTCCTTACAAAAATCCTGAGACTCACATGAAGCCTCATATAGAACAAGAAAATGAAGCTTGAGGATGTAGTTGCACAAAGCCACGCAATTTGTTCAAGACCATGCAAACAGAAGTGGCAGAGCTAGGATTACAACGTGCTCCAGAAACTGTGCTTTTAATTGGTCATGAGTTATTTTGATTCATGTATCTTAAGAATTTCCTTTAAAAGCAAGAGGGAATTAATTTTTTAAACATTCATTTCAGTAGCAGAACTGACAAATTGTTCTATATTCTGAGCAGTGTTTAATATCTAAACAAACTAACAATATGATGTTTTGCAATTTTGAAGTTGAAAAGAAAATACTTTCTCTTGGATGCCTTGCTACTATTTTTTAAAATAGATCAACTTACAAAAGTAAAACAGTGTTGAAATAATACCATTGGTACATTCCCCATGGGTTCATGTTTTTTACCTTTCTACTCAGAATGATACAAACAGTACAAACTATCCCCTAAAATTGTTTATGGGATAAAATTAATGTGCTTCCTATTAAAGAAATGTTGAAATCTGATGTATTAACATTTTTATTTTTCAAGAGCCTCATTCTCTCCACATTACCCTCAGGAAAGAGTGAGCGGACTACCTCACTGTGGGAAAAGAATGTCCCTGCGTGTTTCAGATTCTGTGGCTTCTTGCGAGCAGCATTGCCCTGGGAGCGCCCAGCAGGGCCCGTTCCCCAATGACTGCCCAGGCTCTCTTGTGCTCTTATGAAGCCTACACTTTCATGTGTCGGAAATCATCATACAAGACTTTTTATTTGTCTTGTTTTGAGCACCAGGTGTAACCATATGACTTGTTAAGGTTAACCATTTCTCTGGAACCCACAGCTCAGGGAGGTATAAGAGAAAAGATGCACCACTAAATTTTTCTGAGCTAGAAGAACAAAACAATTGCTTATAAGTGTTATATATTTGTCTTTATTTCAGTTTAATTGTCACTGACTTCCTGTGCCCAGAGAAAGACTACATCTGAATTAGGCTATTCATAATAATGTTTGCATTTGGGATTTCAGGCCCTGCTGCATTAAATGTCATAATATAGTTTTTGTATGAGCGCCAAGTCTTTATCAACTACCTTTTTTTCATACTGTGGTTAAGTGCTTTCATAGATTATAAAAAATATCACTAAGATTCTGAAAATTCATTTAAAAATCTTTGTTTTTCCCAAACAGAATAGATGTAGAACTTGATCAAATATTAAAATAAGGAATTTGGGTAAAGAGAACAAAAGTGCAAAATGCAGGAAAAATATTAATTATCCTCTGGACATTCAGGACTAAAATAAATAAATAATAATGGCTCATGCTTATATAATGGTTACTGTATGGAAGGTACTGGTCTAAGTCTTAACATATTATAACTCATTTATCCCTTTTAAAATAGAAACAATACTATCTCCATTTTTACAGGGGGAGAAACTGAGCACAGAGAAGTTATGAAAATTGTCCAAGATCACAAACAGCTAATTAGAGGCAGAGCTGGGATTCAAATACAAGAAGCCTTGCTCCCGAACCCTCTCCCTTAACCACTAAACCATACTGCCATCTCAGTTTTATTTTAAAATAATAATAAAGTAATTGACATTTATTATCTATTTACTATGTTGCAAGAACTTTATATATCCTTATTTCATCATTGTAGAAAAGGAACAAAATATTAAGCATAACAATCACCATTAGCGAGTGATTAATGGAAGATAAAAACAAGGAGCTAAGAAGACAGATTGCATAAAAAAAAAACCCTAATAAATTTAGGCATAAGGACCAGACAAGTTTAAGGTATAGAGATTGTCCTGAGAAGGGCTTGCTAAGTTTGTCTGCAGAAATGATGCAAACATAGCATTGTATGTGTACTCACATGCACACGCCTATGTCTGCAGTGTACCAGTGCTGTTCTTTAGTAGTGATGGCAGGCTGGGGTGTTGGTGCTTTCAGGAATTGCTTCATTTGCCTGATGTGTTCTAGACCAAAGACCCATAGCAGAAGCTTCAGACTCATAATTTTGGCCTTTCACATTTAGAATCATTTTCATTCAGATTTTGAGGAAAGTATGTCTTGAACTTCAGGCATCTTGTGCAATTGGAAAAACCTGCTAGGGTGAAATTTTGAGCTCTGACAATTCACATGTGTGTGCGAGGCTAATGTTTACTTCTACATGGAAATGAAAATATAATTACATCATATGGGAGATACATGATATAATTGTGTCATGGGAGAGAGGTACAGCTCAGGGGACTAAGGCTCCGCCTCCACTCCCCACACAGAGCATCTGTATACAAGTGTTTGGTGAAATCAAACAAATTGGTGGTTAGCATAGGGTATAAGACTGTTACATTGTGTCCCACTGCATTCTGATCAAATGCACCATCAGAAAAATGGAAATGGTAGTGGCAGAACCAGAGCTTCTGTCCTTTAGTCTTTTTTATTCATGTTCATCATTAGAAATAGAAAAGTACAGTCAGCAAACATTACTACTATCCATAAGTTACAACTGTTAACATTTGGATGTATATCCTTCCATTTTTACAAAAATGGGATCATATTGCATATACTGCCCTAGGATTTATTTTTTTTTAATTTTAAAATATGAACAACTACCCATGTCAATCAATATAGATCTACATTATAATTTCCATAGGCTGTGTAAAATTGCCTTGATTGGATATGCAATGATTTATTGAATTCTTTGTTATTGAGTCTAAAGATAATTCCAATTTTTCATAA